GCCGGGCCAGTGGGAGCGGGCGCAGCGGGCGGCGGCCCCTGGCGGGGATGCCCCGGCGGAGCAGCCGAGCCCGGGCCTGCGGGGGGCGGTAATGAAGGTGCAAAGGACATGGGGGCCGGGGCCAGGACCCCCCTGCGTCAGCGCCTGTCCCTGCCTCCCTCGCCCCCCGGGACAGATGGTGTGGGGCGATGCCAGCCCTGAGGAAGAGCCACGCCAAGCTGGGAGGAAGGAAGACAGCCCAGGGGGGTGGCAGGGGCCCCCACACGGACAACCGCACTGCAGCCTGGCGCGCGGGGTGGGGTGAAGAGCGCCCTACGGTGCGAGAGCCGTCCCGCTCCCCTCACCCGGCCTGTCCTGGACACGCCACAAACCGGGGGGGCCTGCCGTGCGCTCCGTGCCTGCTCCCAGCTCGTCACCCCTGGCCGCACCCCGATGGACGGACTGACGGACGAGCTCCTTCCCTCGGCGGCTCCTGGGCCAAGCGGGGCCCGCACGATCGGGCAGGCGCCTGCCTTGCCGTTGGGGCCAGGCAGCCAGGCTGAGAGGGGCGGCGCAGCATCTCCGTGGTGCTGCCCAGGAGGTTGTGCCCCGCAGACGCACCTGCAGCTTCGCTTTCTCCTTCCGTGACAGCGAGGGCTGCAAGGGACCTCGGGCGTCACATCTCGTCCAGCCTGAACAGGGCGGGACTAGGTGAGGGCTTGGAGTCAGACAGCCTTGGACAAATGGGAGGATGGGGCCAAAAGGAATCTGCCTGCATCCCTCCAGGTCGAATAAGACCCGGAGACCACCACTCTCTGGGTGCGGCCCTCCAGCCAACTGGTGACCCATCTCACCGTGTAGGTGTCGACGCCACAGTCCCCTGGTTTTTTAACGAGGATGGGGTGAGAGACGGTGTCGAAGGCCTTCCTGAAGTCCAGAAAGACTACGTCCACCGCGACACCCGCGTCCAAGGGTTTTGTGCCCTGGTCGTAGAAGGCACCAGGTTGGTCTGACAGGACCTGCCTCGAACGAACCCGTGCTGGTTGCCCCTGAGCATGATCTCCCCTGCTGCCCCTCGACAAGGATAATTTGGTTTTGCAATCTGTGCTGTATCTCCTGACTCCACAATGAGTCTGAACGGAGGCCGACCACCCCAGATGGGTAGATTCCATACGTGGACAATTAGAACAATCTGTAATTCTAGAATCTGCCGTAATTTTCCATGTATAGAATCAGATTATTGGAGGGCTGTCCTAAATCTGTCTTCCACCGTGGAGGGGGCAGGCACGTACCCTGACCGCTGCCCTTTGCTCCCCCCACACTTGCCCCCATGCTTGCATCCTGACACCTGTCCCCTGATCCACAACCCGCTACAAGCCCCCCAGTCACCTGCCCCCCACCCGATTCCCAACCTGTGCTGCTGCCTGATGCGCACCAGTGCCGCTGTCCACCCCTGCTGCTGCCCAGTCCCCCAACACGTCACTTCCTCATATTAAAAACCAACGAAGAAAAACCATCATGTAATTTTTAACATGTTTTAAACTTGACCCAAGGAGTCAAATCCTGAAGTGCCGTCCCCCCGCCCTCGAATTCAGTCCCGTGCTTGTTGTGATGTGTTTAAAAAATTCAGATTTCTCTCCATGGGAGTTTCTGACGCTGTTCTGCATGTTTGACAAAGGTTACGGTCCATGGGGAAAACTGGATATTTCTTATCTGCAACGTGCAGGCTTCAGAGGGGGTGTTACTTGGCAGGCTTCGTGGGTCAAACAGAGACCTGCCCAGGCGGCCTGATCCTGCTTCTTCATCAGGAATGGGCCACTGGGAGCGGGGCAGTTAGGCCGTGGGCCCAGAACTGGGAGCGAGCCCAGGCGTCCAGGTGTCCACTGCCATTCTAGACACACAGGGGAGCCCAGGTGTCCAGGTGCCTTCTGCCCACCCGGCGCGATGAGCAGCCACCTGTGGGTAGCTGACCAGGTGCAAGGCAGCCAGGAGCTGGACCCCACGTGTAGGCCCCTGCCCGGGGCTCGGGGAGGGCTGGAGGCTGGGACCGGGGCAGGGCCTGAGGCAGGGGGTGGGCAAAATGCGGCTCAGGGGCCGGATCCAGCTGCCAAGGGATTTTGTCCGGCTCCAGGTCCCCTCAGGGGAACTGGTGGGAGCAGGCGGCTGGGTGGGGTCTGCATGAGACCCCCACAGCCCCATCTGCCTGGCAGAGCCCGTGGAAGGGGGTGTCCACGCCTGGTTTTCATGGAGACGCTGCTTGCACGGCCCCCGCTTGACCCGGGCATTATTGCCTTCCCCCTCCCTTTCCCCTTCCTGCACAAGCTCATTCCTGAGTTTGTCTGTATTTCCACAGGGCTGGGGGGGAGCATGGCGGGTGCATGGAGCAGACTCAGTTAATCGACCTGGGGGATTAATCAAGTCTGCCGGAGCATGGAAATGGATGCGCTCCGGCAGCCTCCCGTGCATAGGCAGAGGGAGAAAAAATTATTTGGGGTGGCTGAGCGTGTGCAAATGGTAATTTATTAACGGGTGCATGGCAGAATGGTAGGCGGTTTTGAGCGGAGTCCCACAGGGGTCTGTCCTGGGCCTGGTGCTGTTCAAGGTGCTGCTGAATGCTTTGGGTGCTGGCATGCAACACCCTTCATCAGGCATTGGAGAAAAGATTGTAAAAGTTAAAAATCCACTTTGTTTCCATGATTGAAGTGAGACTCCACTATATAGATAGGTATCAGTTGAATACCATGTTTTATTGATATGTTTATGAGTTTAAAGCAATTTGGAAGCCTACCAGTGCCTCAGTCAGTACAATATACATTCTAATTCCCTATATATTTTGGTTTTTTCATCATAGAAAATCAGAGCTCCCCCTGGCCCTTTTGGCTGTCCCCACTGCCGTCCCCATGCTGCCAGCAGTGGGAGGAGTAAGGGTGGGGGCTTGCCCCCATGCCCTCCCGAAGCCTTGCCTAGGGCCACTGACCCCCTCCCCGGGAGTGAGCGGGGCAGCGGGAAACCCCCCCCTCGCTGGGCTCCCCCCACCTGATGAGCTGCCCGTGGCTCCATCCCCCTGCCCAGCTGGGCCCCTGGTCACACACTGCTGCCCTGGCCTTAGGCACCAACCGAGCTAGGCAGCACCCCCAACCCTGCCTCACTCCATCCCTCACCACGGGGCCATGGTGCGAGTCGCCACCGCCTCAGTCTGCCTCCCCCCAACATCACCTATGCCCCCCACACATAGACTTGCCTGCAGGGAGGTACTCTCCACCGCGCTGCCTGGCTGCCATGTGCATGTGTGCCCGCGCACATGCCCGTGGTGCCCCTTGCCTCGGACCACCCTCCTCTCACTCCCTGCAGCCCCTTGCAGGCTGGCACTCTGGGGGGGCTGAGTCTCATCAGCCCCGGCCTTCTGCCGCCTATGCATCAGCGTCCCGCGTATCAGTGTCCCCGTGCTGAAAAAATGGCAGTGGAGCACTTTGAAATAAAACATGTTTGATGAGCTTTAGCTCAAAGCGCCCCACTGCCATTTTTTCAGCGCGGGGATGCACAGGGATGCTCATACATGAGGCACACGGGTGCTTTTAATTAGAGTGGCTCACTAATTAAAGCACCCCGTGCCACATCCCCGAGCACATGTAAAAATGCCTTAAGTGATCTTCTCAGTTTCTCTTCATTCTCAATCCTTACTGGCTCAGTTCTTGTTTGGTTCCCTTGGTCACGTCTACATGTGCATTAACGTGCTTTAGCTAATGCACATTAAATCTAGTCCCTCCATTGTGTGGTACTAATAAAATGCACGTTAGCCTGTCTTTATATGCATGAATGAAATAGCACGATTTTTAAGTGATGCTTAATGCGCATTAGCCTATTTTAATACACATTAACTAAATAGCCCTTTTTTAAGTGATGCTTTAATGTACATTAAAATAGGCTAATGCACATTAAAGCACATGCATAGATGGGCCCCTTATTCAGATGTCTCTGCTTTTGTGTCATTTCCAATCTTCTCTGTCATTTCTTGCCGCTTTGATACTATCTCTTTTTCATAGATTTCACAGACATTCGGGCTGGAAGGGACCCCAGAGGATCATCGAGTCCAGCCCCCTTGTCCCAGGGGCAGGAAATCAGCAGGGGTCACGGGATCCCAGCAAGGGTCGCACCCAGAGAGTCGTGGTGGATGGGTCGGCTTCGACCTGGAAGGGTGTGGGCAGTGGGGTCCCGCAGGGCTCGGTCCTTGGACCGATTCTCTTTAATGTCTTCATCAGCGACTTGGACGAGGGAGTGCAGTGTACTCTGTCCAAGTTTGCAGATGACACAAAGCTGTGGGGAGAAGTGGACACGCCGGAGGGCAGGGAACAGCTGCAAGCAGACCTGGACAGGTTGGACAAGTGGGCAGAAAACAACAGAATGCAGTTCAACAAGGAGAAATGCAAAGTGCTGCACCTAGGGAGCAAAAATGTCCAGCATACCTACTGCCTAGGAAATGACCTGCTGGGGGGCACGGAAGTGGAAAGGGTTCTTGGAGTCCTAGTGGACTCCAAGATGAACATGAGTCGGCAATGTGACGAAGCCATCAGAAAAGCTAATGGTACTTTATCGTGCATCAGCAGATGCATGACGAATAGGTCCAAGGAGGTGATACTTCCCCTCTATCGGGCACTGGTCAGACCGCAGTT